ACACTAAGGTTCTGGCTTGCAACCGGGACCTGCGAAGCTGCTGGCTCTGGGTTTGGCGGCACACTGGGGTTCTGGATTGCAACCGGGGCCTGCGAAGCTGCTGACTCTGCTGGGTTCGGCACACTGTTTGCAACCGGGGCCTGCAAAGCTGCTGCTGGCTGTGTTGGGTTCGGCACACTGGGGTTCTGGCTAACCGGGGCCTGCAAAGCTGCTGGCACTGCTGGGTTCGGCACACTGGTGTTTTGGATCGCAACCGGGGCCTGCGAAGCTGATGGCACTGCTGGGCTCGGCGGCACACTGGGGTCTGGGATCGCAAGCGGGGCCTGCGAAGCTACCACTGCTGGGTTCGGCACACTGGGGTTTTGCACTGCAACCGGGACCTGCGAAGCTGGATTCGGCACACTGGGGTTTTGGGCCACCGGGGCCTGCGAAGCTGCTGGCTGTGGGTTCGGTGGCACACTGGGGTTCTGCTTTGCAACCGGGGCGGGTGAAGCTGCCACTGCTGGTTCCACCAAACCACTGGGTTTCTGGTCCGAGATCTCATCTGAGAAGTCGAGGATCTCCTCGATATCTCGCTGCGTAGCCACAGCCATTTCGTCATCAAGATCCATGGCCTCCATCTGGGTCGACGGAGCCTGTGAGGGATGGGTGGAAAAAATAGCTGGATAATAATGGCATGATTATTACTCTTATAAACTCTATATTTAAAAAAGTAAAACGAAGAAGAGGTTAGTCGGAGCTTATTATAATATAACAATAATAATGTCGTGGATCGAGGCACACGTACAGGAGAGGTCAAAAGAGCATCCAGCTTCTCTAGGTCTCTAGAGATCTCCATATCGAGCTCCTGCTCGAGATCCATCATAGCAGCATCGTATGATTCTTCAGTCCCCGAACGATGCACTCCGGCAGCCTCCCGAGCCTGCCAAGCAACCAACATCCTAATTTCCCATATAATAGAAACCAGAAACCCTAAGTCCCTAAAGCCCTAAGCCCCTAAAGCCCTAAGCCCCTAAAGCCCTAAGCCCCTAAGTCCTAAACCCTTATGAATCATACCTGGCCTTCCGAAGGTAACCCGGTGTGTCAACATTCGAAGTCTCAGAAGTAAGGCTCAGCTGGCGATGCGGTGGCTCCGGTGCACTGCTGGAACCTGGGCTAGATGATGGCTTCAGTCTTTTTTCCGGTTTCAGGGTCTAGAAACCCGGCCCTTAAGGCAGGTTCCTGGGATTGAGGTTTCAGGGTCTCGGCCCTACTGGGGTTTCGGGCTTTGATATATCTATATACATATATATGTATATATATATATATTATGTATATATAATAATATACATGTACTATATTATATATATATATGCAACTAATTTACCATCCAGGGTGCTTCCGAAGGAAAGCTGCTTCACAGGTGTGGCGGTTAGCGGTCGTTTCGCATCCGGGGTCTTCGTGCTGGGCGTCAACTTCGTGGTTGAGACGTGGCCCCGCTTCTGACCCGGAGCCGAATTCGCCTAGCATGGGCAGGTCATTGGTGTCACTGGGGTATTGGTTTGTGCTGGGGTGAGCTAATTTTAAGGTTTGCATACAGTAAACTAATTTCTTTAGGGTTGCCTGTGCAGCAGCTAGAGCCGCCACTGCCCGTCGACGAGCTCCGGCCCGTAGAGCTTGAGCAGCGGCCTGCTGCATATATATTTTCTACTAGATCTAGTCTGATGTCCTACAATAGGGCCTCGGCAACCTCTGCGGGGAGAGATTCTCGGGGCGAGGAATCCATAGCACAGTCGCACTCAGGACTAGAAAAGGTCTAAAAGCAGCCTGGCTTCACAGGGCATATAGGGCATCACGCAGGATGACGTGGGATCACGCTTCTCGTCTGTGCCTAGCTAGCCACACAAGAGGGATCACGGTGATCACGTTTGCACTTCACGCAGGATCACGTCGAATCACGGTCCCTCCTGTGCCCTCTGGGCTCGTAGAGATCGCTATCGCTAGGAATCCGGTACGAGCTTTACGTCTTTCAAGGAGATTACCACAAACATTGTGGCTGTTTCAACTTAAACCCCTACCCTAGTAGCTACACAGGACATTAGCCGTGAAACAACCTAGGCTATCCACTGCCACTCAGGGAAGCATTGCAGCTTCCAAAGCATCGGATCATGGTGCCACAGATCCTTGGGCAGCAATAAACACGAGAAGATTCATTGACTAGGGCCTGAGAACTCCCTCGAGGTCTATCTTAATGAGAGTCAGGGCTGTATCAGGGACTGACCTGATATGTTGGTATCTATATCTAGGTCTAGACTATAGATGTGTGTATATATATATACACACACATCTAATATAGAGAGAGATGTGCTATATTATTAAGTACTAATTGCCAACACTGCAGTTATATAGTCTCTAGATCTAATAGTATATATATATATATATATATATATATTAAAAGCATAAACTAGAGATACAGTTAGATCTTTATATTCAAACTTCATCATGATCTATTATATATATAACTGCAGTGTTGGCAATTAATTCAATGGTGTTAGATATATTTTAACCCCATAGCTTCAGCTCTTGTACATATGTGTATATATATATACATACATTAAGCCATTAGGTTCTCCCTCAATGCCACCAGAACCTGATTGGGCTACATATATCTCCAGCAAGCACCCTCTCCACAGCGGCCACAAGATTAATATAGTTGCAGGAGGGGTGGGTCCAAACTCATATTCCGTGGCTTTGATTTCGGCACTTTGGGCTGCTACAAGGCGCATTTCTATGGGGAGCAGAGCAGCCTGAACCCTAATCCATCTTGTCCGGTCCCCACCCTACTATAGGATTTGGTTTGGCTCTGTAGACAGGAAACCAGGAACTGAACAACCACAAGTCCCAAACCCGCTTTGATTGTGCTTCTTGATCAGGAAGACCAAGCTTATATCCTGAGCCCCAGCCGATAAGTAAATACACACTAAAGATTTATATACATATACATACATATATATTAACCTGGGCCCCGACGATTATATATATATATATATATATACATAGAATCCGGTGACTCCAAATCAAGAAGAACGACTTGCTGCTGATGGCGGTGTTGCCTGGCCTGGTCAATACTACTACTACTACTACTACTACTACTACTACTACTACTACTACTACTACTACTACTACTACTACTGCTTCTACTACTACTACTACTACTAGTACTACTATTACTACTACTACTACTACTACTACTACTACTACTACTACTACTATACTACTACTACTACTACTGCTACTGCTACTGCTACTGCAATTGCTACTGCTACTGCTACTGCTACTGCTGCTCCTGCTGCTGCTCCTACTGCTTCTAGTAGTAATACCACTGATACCATTCCTACTAGTACTACTAGTACTACTACTAATACCACTAACACCAATCCTACTGGTACTACTAGTAGTACAAGTACTACTACTACTACTACTACTACTACTACTACTACTACTACTACTACTACTTCTACTACTACTACTACTACTACTACTACTACTACTACTACTACTACTACTACTACTACTACTACTACTACTCCTACTACTACTACTACTACTACTACTACTACTACTACTACTACTACTACTACTACTACTACTACTACTACTACTACTACTACTACTATTACTACTACTACTACTACTACTACTATACTACTACTACTGCTACTGCTACTGCTACTGCAACTGCTACTGCTACTGCTACTGCTACTGCTACTGCTGCTGCTACTACTACTACTACTACTACTACTACTACTACTACTACTACTACTACTAAGCCCCTTGGCTCCGCCAGGTTGAGAAAGAGAGATGTTGTCGAAACAGCGGGACCCTGCCACCCCCAACAGTAACGGGTGCACTAGAAGGTCTGAGTGCCTCAACCTCAACACGGCTGTAGGCTGCATGATGGCTGCGCTTCTTGCCTGTCTGTTCCCACTTGCCCCACCATGGCAACAGGGCTCAAACTTTGTGCTACAGAGTCCCAACTGGACAGCCTCCAGTCCGTGTGCTTGGTCCGGCACTCAGCATCTGCAGCTCCCCTTACCCTTGTGGCCAGTTGCTAGGTGCACTTCAGAGCAGCTGTTTCCGAGCGCCGCCTTCTGTGCTCAAGCCTTGCTGTCGCATAGCCCGCTCAGCCCAGGATGTCCCCCAAGGAAGCACGGAGAGGCAACCCATCGAGGTCGCGATCTGGAAGACCCAAGGCCAAAGCAACGGTGGCTCCGGAGTCCTCTTCATCTGATAGCCCACCGATAGCCCACCGAGGTGAGGCGAGGAGGCCACCGCTCCGCCAGCTGCTACCACAAGTGCTCCAGCAGGACCTCCTCCTCCAGTGCCCGTCAACAGGCCACGAGGAAGCGTTGGATGTGCCAAAAGTAAGCCCGCGGGGCCGCCCCCGCCGACTCCAGCATCCTGCACGTCTCTTCCGACAACACCGGTGCAGGCCTTTGCTGCCATGGCTCCAGGAGGTTTACCAGCGGGTGCTCCACCAAGCACAGGGCCTATCACTGTCGCAATGGGAGCTGTTCCTACGCTTCCATCGCCTACTACGACCTTGCTGCCTCCTCCGACTGCACCCCCAGCACCGAGTGTCAATGCAGCAGAGGCAGTTTCGGGCACACCAGCTGGACCTGTGCAACAGCAGCCAGCCACTATCACTACCAAAGTGGCGGGCTGGACTTTCACGCTTACGGTTAGGCCACCGAGCTGAGCCACGAGACAACAGGTTCTATGGTGGCCAGGCACGAGCTTTCTGCAGAGCTTGCACTACAGGTGCACCTGACAGCTGTCAGCTCTCTGCCGTCTCTTCCTGTATGCAGACTTGTTGTTTTGTGCCCAGCTGCCTCTCGAGTGGGACTCACAAAAGACGTGCTGTCTCTGTCAGCGCACTTGTACTGACACCACTTCGGAGCCAACTGTCACTGCTATCTTGGACTATCCTTTATGCTGACTGCACTGCCCAGGCCGACCTCATGGCAGACTCCGATGACTTCGCGCAGGCTCCAGGTCAGCGGTGCCCTCCATCAGCCCTTGGCATGCCTTTGTCGAACGCTGCTCGCCACAGGTCTCAGGTCCCTCGAGACGTCCACTTTGGTGCTCTCCCTGCCCACCACGGGGCTTGGATCTCAGTCCTGCAGCTGCAATCCGTGACCAGCCAACATGAGACTCTGCCGTGCTCTTGCATGCATTCTGCAGCCCCACCATGTGGTTATCGCGTGTGCCTGCAGCTTTCCACAAACCAAGCCACATTGATGACTTTGGTAGAGCACGTGGTCCTACAGTTGACTGCCACTACTTCTGACCACCTTGCTTCCCTTAGGGCTGGGAGACCTCTCGCCGAATACTTGCAGGTGTCATCCCCTCAACTTCTTAAGTCAAGGGACTATCCTGTCTTAACGAGCCCCACCTGTGCCCTTCGAGGCATCATGGAGCCTGCCTCCGAGCCTGACCGGCCACAGTGGCAGGCAGCACTCGTCCCGCTTACAGTGGGGACCGAAGTGGAGGTGATCGACGGTCACAGACGTCATCTCGTCGGTCGCCGAGGGATTGTGCTCCCTACCTTGGAGTGTGACCGCAACACTACGCGGAATGTGCGGATCATACAAGGCCCTCGGGATGAACAACGTCGTATTTTTACAATCGACAAGGAGCACCTCGCTCCCCGACTGGGGTTGGAAGCCACACAAGCTTCCATGTGTGATGGAATGGAGCCGAGTCTGAGGTGGAGATGTGCTCCCCCACCATTAACCATTTACAGCGCCCGATACCTCCTCGGCTACCAGGCCCTGGAGACCATGGTGCCTCCGGCGGCACCCAAACGGAATCCAGCTGGCCACTATATCCATCCCCCGGTGGACGATGCTACGCTTGAGGCACCCTGGGAAAAACACGTTGACCAAGCTCGCGATCGTCCCTACTACTATCACCCGGGGACAAAGCAGGTGACCTGGCGCAAACCTCGGCCTGCCCTGGTTCTTCCGAGGGAAGAGGAGACTGGGCCCACCAAGCCCAGGCGAGGCAAGACTGCGATACCACAACCTCGTACTCCTAGTCCGCCTCCTCCCAAGAGGATGCGAAAGCATCCCACCAGCGATGCTCAGCAGAACACTACGAGCTCTACGACCCAGTCGTCAGCTTCTGCCACAGCTACAGGGACACCTACTACAGAGAGGAAGCCCGCTCCGGCCTTTGATCCCCAATCTTCTGGTGGCCCTTCTGAATGGAACCTGGCCGATCATGCTTTACCTGCCTCTCCAGATCGGGTACTGATCTGGGGGACCAAGGCCAGGACACAGCTGCCCCAACCGCCGAGTGCTCCTGCTTGTACCCTGGATGTGGAAAGGTTTCTGCAGAGCTTCTTCAGGACACGGCAAGGCCCCACTGGCACACCTCTTGCCACCCTGCTTGGGGACCCAGTCCCGCAACCTGATGGTTGGTGGAGGCTCCCGTGGACACCACTGGATCCATCGCACTGCGAGCTGCTGTGTCAGGATGGCTGGCTAAGGGGCTGGCACGGATGTAAGATGGAGGCACTATACTCCATCATCTACCATGGCCAACTTCTCCCGAGCACTGACGAGTCGAAAGGCGACAGATTCCTGGCAGGCTGTCCAGGGGTGTATCTGCACCGCGACAGCCTGCAACACAAGGTGGAGAACTACATGCGATGGATACCACTATGTGGAGATGGTCTCTTTTGGGCTGCCAAGTGGGAGGTGGTGTATGCTCCCTCGGGGAGCAACAAACATGGCAAGCGTACTGATCAGGTTATACAAAGTGCTGAGTCGGTGGAGCTGGTGGCCCTCTGGCTCTCAGTGCGCTCCGAGAACATGCTGCCTGAGGGAACTGCTGTGCAGGCCACATGGACGCCCGCCCGTGAGGCCAACCCTTGCCTCACAGAGTCCAAGCGACGAAGCAGTGCTTTGATACAGGCTGTGGACTTCGCGGCACTTTCTGCCTCCTCCAGACCTTTGCCCAGCTCCAGTTCGCGGTCTGACCCGGCGATCGACGACAAAGGCCGACTCAAGCCGACACCCAAAGCACGTGGTCGCCTGCCACACATCCCTTCTGAACTAGAGAAGGACTGCACACCTGCACAAGCGAAGCTCACCATACAGGCAGGAGATCTCGTCCTTCGATCGGCTACAGCACATAGCTCGGAGACTCCCAATGCTCCGACCACGGTTTCGGCTGCTACCTTGGCCGACCCATCAGATCCACCTCAACGAGGACCCAAACGGGTTCGATCTGATGCTTCCTCTCCGAAACCAAGGAGGATGCAGACACGGCCCAAGCCGAGACGATCGATTTGGTTTGATGTCACGGACAATCCGGCTGATCAACCACTTACGACCTCCTCCACTGCAGCCAAAGGCCGTGGCACTGGGATGACCAAAGCTGCGAGGCACCAAGAACGTGTCCGCAAGAAGATGGCCAAGAAAATGGAAGAAATCTTCCAGGCCAATAGAGCCGCTGGACTTCACTCGGACTCAGCGGCCTCATCCAGTGCAGCATACAAGGATCCAGCCTGCTGTTCATCATGTCCACGTCTGCATCGGCATAGCCAGTCTTGCCTGAAGACACACATGCCCCCCTCCCATCAATCGGGCAAGCTTCATGTCTTCGCTCCTCTAAGGTCTAGCCTACTGGCGGCTTCGTCAAACCAGGATGACACAGGCAGGGATCGCTTTACTGAGTGCTCGGAGTTGCAGACCTCTGCACCTAGGTTCGGGCAGCCACCTAGGTGGGTTCCCTGCTCACAAACCTTCGTTGCTCCTTCCACCAGTCACTGCCTGCAACACTTGGGGCCATCAGGCTTGTATCCTCCGACCTGCCGGATGCCCGACGGCACGCCCGACTCCTTGCAGGTCCCTTCGTTATTCTGCTGGGGGTTTGAAAGGCACCTGAGCTCTTTTCCCTGTACCCATCCAGGCCTTGAACGTCCAGTGTGCACATCTACGACAATGCCAGTCGGGCTCACATGGCACTGCGGTGCCTCCCCACACCGTGCTCACTATCGCTGTGTCGTGCCTCGAGGTATGTCAGCTGCACTGGCAACAGGCCCTACTCTGTTGCATGCCTATTGCTCTCGTGATGATTGCTCCAGCCATTGCACCTGGCAGGGGTGGCCAGACGCTTTCCTGACTGACAGACCTGAACATTGCCTGGTGTGCCTTCGACACACCAGACCATCTGCTGCTGGACCTGCTTCGGTCCGATGCCCACCTCCACCACCAGGAGCTGGTCTGCAACCCGACGGGCTCTCAGAACTTGAGACTGTCGCCCCCAAGCAGCTGCTAACCCCATCTCGCGGTTCCCTTAGCCTGCCTTCAGGTCTGTCTTCGCCATTGGGCGCAGGCCAGTGGATCGAGCAGACATCACCTCGAGATATGTTCCTGTCCAATTTGTGCAGGACATCCCGGGCACGTGGCTGGCCTATCGTCTGGCGGACCCATGCTGTGAGTGGTGTCGGCTTGAATATCGTAGAAGCACCCCCTATGCCACCCGCATGCAACAAACTAGCACCTCGCAGACCAACAAGATCAGATCCCGTGAGTCTGTTTCTGCCGAGCCGTTGCAACCCAAGGTTTCCCCTCCGGCCCTGGATCTGCACACTATGGATTAGATGTGTAGACGATCTGCTGCACCGTCCTCCGAAGTCGATGCCAGCATTTTTGACAACATGGACAACTGGCATCCCGAAGTGCCTCTCTCATAATCTCAACATACCTGCCCTGAGCCACTCCGGTCCCAATTCCGGAGACCGACTTTTTCATACGGCTGACAACCTGTTCTCTCTCAGACACCCGCTGGTTGTCCATCTAGCCTCCGAACAGTCGGTAGGGGCGAGGGTTGTGAGCGGCTGCCACCCGCTCACGAGACCGAAACTCACCTTCGTGGTGGGGGACGGGAAGCCGTGGCCGGAGCCCAATGAACTACACTCTGCGGTGAGGGCAGTCTTGCGAGACCCCCCACAAAACCACACTACTTGCTTTGACCTAGGAGTCACTCTAGGCATCGCCTGCTCTCCTAGCCTGACCTCCACTCCGTTTTCAGTCATCTGTTCATCGTGGGCTGGTCCGGGTGATCAGACTGCAGGCCCCTGTGGAGTGCCAAACAGCCTGGACAAGCTGCTGCTAGGATATGCTCCACTGCAGTCCAAGCCCCGGTACTTATTCCTCTACAAACAGGGTCTCCCTGTTCGCCTCGTTGCCATCCGGGCTCCAGCACTTCTACATCTTGCCTCTCCTGGCCTTTCTCGCTCTCGGAGGCCTCTCCCTGGAGTACAAACACTTACACCTGCCACTCGACCAACCCACACTGCTGACAGGTCTTGCCCTCCGTCGACTACGCATTGCACCAGCCAGACCCCGGGCACGACGCCGTACCCCAGGCAATGCCCTCGCCCCATCCTGTTCCTCTCGACTTTGTTTGCACTACCAAGGTCGATCTGGGGAGTGCCATCTGCACACCCCCTGCATCCTACAGTTGCACATCACTCAGCGACCCTCAATCAGGCTACCGTCCATTCAAATGCGTACACATTTGCCAGGAAGAGATCCTACAAACGTGACCTACGTCGTGCTGCACAAGACGAGGCCCAGCATACGATTTATCGAGGTCGTGTCTGTACCCTGCAACAGCTCTGCAAGGGCTATCGGGGCCATCGACCCGCCCCTCAGGCTGAGCGTCGCATGCAGCAGGCCGCTCTGAAAGTCTCCCAGGGACGCCTGCTGTTCCTCTCATGGAATGCTGGAGGCTTGTCCCAGGCCCTGTGGCAGGAATTCTTGCTGACACTTGAAAACATGCCACCTGACGAACGACCCCAAATCGTGTGTGTACAAGAAACACATTGGACGGACAAGGTGGCGCCAACATTCCCCACTGCTACCTGGGATGTGTACACCTCCCCAACCACAGACAACAAATCTGCTGGGCTCCTGATTCTTCTCAATAAGAATACACCCGCAACTGCAGAATTGTTTACGCCGACCCTCAACCGGGCAGGGTGCAACACTTGAGGATACTCCACGACAAATGGGCAGTTGACCTGCTGCACATCTATCAAAAGCCGCACAACTCTCATCCACTCGCACTGCAATCCTCGAAAACCATACGTTTAGCTGTCTGGGAGTGCATTGGCAAGATCCTGGCAGCTCTGCCTGCCCGAAACACAGTGATCATGCTTGGAGATTTTAATACTCAGATCAAGCCGTGTGCTGCAGCCGGCACCAGGATCTGTTCAGGCACCAGCACGAGCACACATCCGCCTGATCAGGCAAGGTTGCAGCACCTTGTTGAGGACTTCTCCCTCTTACACCTCAACTCATGGTGCAAGGCGGCTGGCCCTACATACCATCACAACAAAGGTGCTAGCCTTATTGATCATATCATCATGCGTTCCAGCCAAGCGGATGATCGTGCTAGGCAGGCGAGACCGCTCCGTCTGGGACTGGCTGCCTGGAGACTTGGTGGATATCACCTGCCACTGAAGGCCAGCATCCCGCTTCAGCGTTTCCACACTCTCAACAAACCGGTGGCACCACAACGGGCATGGGACCATTGGGGCCTGATTCAGGTTTGCCGCTCTACCTGGGATCCGAGAGTTCAAAGTCTACGCTCTGCTGTCCAGGCGTCCCTACCAGGGGTTCATGATCTTGGGCAATTGCATGAAACTCTGATCCACTGTGCCTCCCAATTCTTCCCGCCACCCGCAGGACAGCATCGGCTGGCACTATGGCAAACACCGCCTATGCAGGATGGTATTCGCTCCATGTGGCAGGCCTACCGAGTCTGGAAGACAGCCAAAGCTCAAGCTCAGCATAATCCGCTTTATGTTTCCAGGTGCTACCATCACTTCAAGACGGCACACAAGGCCTTTCGTCGTGCCGGGAAAGAAGCCAAAAAGCACTGGTTCCATGGCAGGCTACAGGAACTCCAGACTGCTGCCAGTTCAGGCGACTCTCGCAAGCTATATGCTGGCATTCGTACCTTAGCTCCCAAATCCTCCAAGCCGAAGGTTCAACTGCGAGATTCTGGCGGACACCTGCAGGATCCCAAGACCCAGCTAAAACAGCTGGAAACGCACTATCGCAAATTGTATGCTGCGGACGAGGATGGCAGCATACAGGGCCCCCAGCGACAGCCCATTCACATTGAAGTCACGGAGGCCGAAATGACCCTGGCGCTTTCGCAATTGTCACCACATAAAGCTACACCTCCGAACTTAGCCACAAACTCTTTATGGAGGCTGACCTCGGACCTTGTTGCGCCTCTCTTGTGCCAATGGTGCCGGCAATGGCCTCAAATACCAGAGCTTTGGAGAAGCGCATGGTTGACTCTTGTTCCCAAGATTCCGCGACCACTTTCACCAAAGAATCTCAGACCTATAGGGTTAACTGAATCCAGTGGCCGTGCATATGCTTCCATACTGCAGGCGAAATTGCGCCCCTACGCCGAGAGATTCCTTGCAGACCAGGCACAATTTGCATATCTGCCAGGTCGCAATGCTGCCCAAGCCATACATCGGGTTGCTGCACACTGCAAATATGTTCAGGATCGCTGCTCGATTTCAACACCTACGGTTGTTGATCGTCACGCACAACAGCCGAAACCCTGCCCACACTTTGCAGGTGCACAACTATCGCTGGACTTGTCCAGTGCTTTTGACCTCATGGACTGGCGCCTGCTGGACAAGGCTTTACTAGCGTCCGAAGTTCCGGCTGAGCTCAGACACCAAATCATGTCCTGGCACTCTGAAATCTCCTATGTCCTTACTCACCTTGGGCACACTGCCAAGGTGGAGGCCCAAAGAGGACTTAGACAAGGGTGTAAACTGGCTCCGTTGCTCTGGACACTCGCCCTAGCACAGATATATCGTGAGATCCTTGCTGAGGGGGACCCGCTTCTCACAGCACCTTGGCTAGAGCAATGCTCCACGATTTATGCTGATGATATACACCTCAAGGATACTGTGCAGAACACTCGTGAGCTGGACGACATGGTGTATCGCTTTAGCAAGATCCTCGATGCCCTTGCGGCCCATGGTATGGTCATCAACTCGGCCAAATCAGCATTGCTACTGAGACACAAGGGCAGTTTCATCAGAGGCTGGCTGCGCCGACACCTCATACCCAAACCCGAGGGGGACCTCCTGCGTTTTCGCAGTCCACGGGGAACAGTGTATGAAATTCCATTGCGTGACCATCACACGTACTTAGGCATACGCATCTCCTACCATTCACAGGCCAAACAAGCAGTCACCTATCGGCTGCAGGCTGCGAACCAGGCCTGGCAAAGACTCCGTGGTGTACTGTGCTCCACCAGGCATCTCGCTCAGACGCATCGTCTCTGTCTATGGAAATCCACAGTGCTTCCCACGCTGCTCTATGGCATCGCAGCATCCAACCCAGGTGCCAAGGACATCCAGCGAATGCAGCACATGATGACCAAGCAGGTTCGAGCCATCACACGATCCTTTGCACATCTTCAGAAAGAATCCACACAGGACCTTCTACACAGATGCTCTTTGTCCACCATTTTGGAGCACCTACAGAGGGAAGCCGCTGCCTTGCATCGTAGCCTGACCCGCCTGAGCACTGAAACGAGCTTCGTGACCCAAGCCCAGGTAGAATCAGCTCGAGACACTGCCGCTACACTTCACCTCCAAGTGCAACGCCAATGGCAGGTCCCTCTTGGGGACACAGAAGGCATCACAGATCCTGCTGTACATCAATGCCAGGAATGTCATCGGGTCTTTACCTCCTTTCGGCTCCTCCGCTCTCACGAGGCTAAGTGGCATGGCCTCAAAACACCTGCTGCTGTCTCGGTGCCTTTTGACAGGTATGCACATGGAACAGAAGGACTTCCAACGTGCAGACACTGTGCCCACCCCTTTCGACAATGGGATGGCCTCGTCAAGCACATTAAACGCAATCGGTGTCAGGTACTCCGTAGACTTGCCACACAACCTCCTGCTGCTGCCCCACCCTTGGCTCCGAGTTCTGATGACTCCGATCCTGTACTAGTCCCTGACCCGGCTACTCTGCCACCCCAGGATCTCTCTCCGGGGACTCACATCCTGTCAAACGAACAGGCTGCTATGCCCCCGCCTACTCCTGTCGATATACCTGAACCCCCTGTCTTGGATGCTCTCCTGCAGGATAGCTCCACTTCGCCGAGCCACGAGGCTGCTCCTCTCTATCAGCAATCTCATGTCCTTGAGACGCTAAGTGCCCGCAGGTGGACTGACCTCCTTGTGAAACCGGAGACCTACTCGTATCTCCAGCACCACTGCCCGCTGTGTTACCAGTGGCTAGCCACCCCTACCAGCATCAAGTATCATCTCACCATGCAACATCCAGAGTGGAAAGAATGCCAACCTGCGACTCTCAAGCTTCTTACTGGTTTCCGCCGACATACTGTTGTACCATGTCGATACTGCCATCAGCGAAACATCAACAAAGATCGTCATTGGAAACAGTGTCATGTTTTGCATATTTGTGCCTTTCTAGCAGTGCACCATGACACTCTGCGCGGATCCCATGGAGCTGGACGAACAGGAGAAGCAATTTTGGGCCCATGCCGGTCCGGTCAAACGGGAACAGGAACCACGACGAGATGTGATGCATCAAACCGAGCAATCCAAGAGGCAGCGTCTGGCTCCGCAGGACCGGAACAAAGGCAAGGGCAAGGGTACCAAGGGCAAAGGCAAGGGAAAGCAGGGCCTACCAAGTCCATCCAGTGCCAACCAGGTCACGGGCTACACAAATGGTTTCGGAAGCCATCCACCCAATCCCTGGACACAGACTCAGGACCTGCAGCCACTGGGAAATCACGATCCAGACTGGATGGAGTACAGGATGAATCGACTATCCCAGCTGGTCCTTCGTCAGGAGCAAATCATCTCAGCCATCCGTCAGGATCTGGTCCTTTACCTCTTTGTACGATCAGGGCCAGAAGGGATGGTACCGGTTCTCTGCGAAGCAGCGGAGAAGTGGAGGAAGATGAAAGAGGAAGAACCCGAGAAGATTACTTACTCCCTCAAACTCATGCTCTTCAAGCAGCTGCTCATCACCTTACACCAGAGGTTGACCAACATGATTGCGGACGAGGATGCTCTCGCCAAAGCCAAGAACCTGAACTGGATCGACGATCAGAAACATTGGAAACATCTTACATGGAATCCTACCAAACAATGTCTGGAAGTCGACAACTCGGTGAGGCCAATACCGGCGGAAGATCTGTTGGCCCAACTGGTTCAGATGAGGAAGGCTGTTACGGAAGAGACCCTGGTGAGGTTCAAGTCCATGAGGAAGCTCACCACGGAGGTGACCTCCGACTGGATTCAATTCCAGATCTGCATGTCCCTTCGCCCAGAGGGAGGAGCCATGTGGAGCACGCTGAACCAGTGGATCGGACAAGCATCGTGGCACACCCTGGGCTGCAGGCTTCGCCGCGATCGGCCGAACTACGACACCCTGGTCCAGGAAGTGTGGCAACATCAGATGCCATACTGAGTGTGCGCCCTAGTCTCAAGGCTGTCCTTCGATTGATTTTCCACAATCCTTCAAACTTGTGCTACCTGCACTCTACGATCTATGCACTATTGTGGACAATCCTTCAGGCTAGGCTGCATGATGCCTACGTTTCGCCTCCACCGCAGGCTCTTACCATGTTGTGTCCACCAATCACTGCCACACCCAATTGCCCCATTCAGGTACTCCACTCGGTACCGTGGCTTATGCTGCTGCAAGCTTGGCCTTCTGTGCATCGTCAGCACGATGCAGCTGAACTGCTACAATACCTTCTACCCAGGTTCTCGCATAGTGGGTTCAATGGTGGCTGGGAGGCCCGAAACTTTGTACCTGGAGGTATTGCCACTCTTGACAAGGGGCCTACCCAAGCTCCCATTCCGATTGCGCTACCGGTAGGTCCAAGTCTGGAGCTCCAAGCAGCCATTGATGGGTGGAGTGCTCAGGTTACAGCCCGCTATGCACTGCTGAATCCGTCTCCCATGCTCTGTATACAACTCCAACGCTTCACAAATGCCGAGGGAGTCATGCGCAGGGACACCAGACCACTGGTCGTGGCCTCGACTACAGTTCGTATGCCACTCTTTACAGGTCTGCACACTATGCAAGTTCGCTATGTTCACTACCAGGTTGTCGCTGTACAGCTTCACTACGGGGCCACTCCTGATATGGGGCATTACAGAACTATCCTACGAGGACAACCGCTGTTTGGAGCAGAAAAGTGGTGGATCACTGATGACTCCTGCATCGCAAAGCCAGTCAGTACAGAACACGATGACAACATATATATAGTGTGGCTACGTCAGGTACTACCTCCTGGTGCCTGACGCTGAGCAAGTGTAGTCTTAGTCGATGGAGCTGGCACTGCCCTCCAGAACCCAACAGAGGTTCCGATACCCCGAAAACCGGGTTATCGTCAGCTCGCTAGGCGAACCCGGACACTTCGCTGCGTGGTGAATGAATACTACTACTACTACTACTACTACTACTACTACTACTACTACTACTACTACTACTACTACTACTACTACTACCACTAGTACTGGTACTGGTACTGGTAATGGTGCTTGTTGTTGTACACGTACTTGAATTATGTACGACTATCGATATCACTAGTACAGACCATATACTACGACGACTACCACTAGGAGGACTCGCAGTACTAGCTATAGTGCTACTACTCCTGCTTCTGCTAGCAATACTGACACCCCCACTATTAGAATGGATCCGAGATTCACTAATCTCTTGCCATCCTTCAAATTATGAGCAGCCTCGGAGTTGACTCGCTCGAGCTCCTTCGTCAGCTGGCACCCCAAGTCGCGGATCCATTTCCTGATCGATGAGCCGATTCGTAGTTTAATTTGTTCACAACATCTAATAAAAGGTCTCGGGTTCTAGATATACTGATCGAGTTCACCGGTACAGTTTAATCTATATAGGACTCGTTGCTTGAATGCAGGGCCTTCTGCTTCAGGCTTCCATCTTCTGTCTCTCTTAGTCTCTCCGTTTCTCTCTCTCTCTCTCTCTCTCTCTCTCTCTCCCTCCCTGTCGCCCTTTCGCTCTCTGTCTCTCTCTCTCTCTCTCTCTCTCTCTCTCTCTCTCTCTCTCTCTCTCTCTCTGAACTATGTGGCTTATTCGCCGAGAGTCGTGGTACCAAGCAGCCAGGTAGCCTTCACGAACCAATCGCCCCAGCCACCCATAGGACTTAGTGTGCGAAACACGTAACCAACTTGTCTAGGATGACATGTATATATTTAGTATAGGTCGAAGACAAAGAAATCTGTATTATTAACCTCAAGAAAAGTTACAATCTCTGCAGAAGCAAATGCAGAGCCAGAATGTGCAGGATCCGTAACAGGTCCAAGCGATTCACCGTGCACACATGTACCACACCGCCACAGGTGCCCGAAGAAACTGCCAGCCCATCAATCCAACTCATCAAGCCGAAGAACCCCCGGTTGGGGGGAATCATGATGTAATAATTCATGAGCTACGGACCGAACTTCTGATTGCAGTGACTCGGCGAAGCGTAGCCGCCACTGCAAGAGCCTGACCACTTCTGGTTCCACCCTGTTAAGAGATGCAACAAGTTCGGTGACCACACGGCTGATGCAATCCAGTTCTGTGCGAAGGGACACTCCGTGCTGCTGAGCTGTGGAATGCTGCAAAAACGAGATATCCTTCTCTGCGGAATCCAATCTCAGAGCACAGCTGTTAACCCGAGCCTCAAGCTGGCGATAGTTCGTGAGTGTATATTCCAAGTGCTCTGCCCGCACTTCAAGACATGCAATGTGGAACTTAATAGTCGCCAATGCCTCTGAATCCAGAGTTTCCATGCGGCAGGCTACACCCTACTTCAAGCTGTGTGAAGCTAAGCCTGTTCATGTTTCATGTACATGTTGAACCTTCTGATCTAGATCTGATCTAGAAGCCAGGCTTTCCGTGCCAACATATACCTATTGATATCGCCTATCTGCAATTCTACAGCCTTACAATTAAGTTTCCTTACACGATCGGACATGGTGGGAAGCCATAAGGACTGCAACACATCACGAACATGCCAGGATGATTTTTTGTCTAGACTCTGTAGTGGACATCTCGCACTATGCAGCAAGGCCTCTTTACCCTTTTGTGCGAATTTCCAAGTCAAACCCGCTCGATTGAAACGGCAGTGCTGCTGTGTGGTTCAGACCACATCCAGCAATCTGCACATGTGCACAAAACACCGGCCAGGCCTACCATACATCTATTTGCTATATTATTGGAACTACACCTAGAATATAGGTCTAGCAGGGAGGAGCCCTACCACCCAAAACCGGCAACCCCCTAAAGGACACACAACTGTAAGTCACCGAGGCAGCAAGCCAAGTGCACATCAGGGCGAATGGCGCCCGGCTGCCGGGCGGCGGCAAACCTGGGCAACGGCTGCAATTTTAAGTTCGGCTTGGGGTGATTAGTTTATGTTTGTGTAAACACCTAGTTAAGGCAATCTGTTTTATAGCTGTGGTAACACCAGCAGCAATAAAGGCAGCAAGAGTCCTAATTAGTGTACGGCTAACAGCATAGTTCCTAGAAGAAGTAGAAGTAGTAGTAGTAGTAATAGTAGTACTAGTACTAGTAGTAGTAGTAGTAGTAGTAGTAGTAGTAGTAGTAGTAGTAGTAGTAGTAGTACTAGTAGTAGTAGTAGTAGTAGTAGTAGTAGTAGTAGTAGTAGTAGTAGTAGTAGTAGTAGTAGTAGTAGTAGTAGTAGTAGTAGTAGTAGTAGTGGTACTAGTAGTAGTACTAGTAGTACTAGTAGGAATGGTATCAGTGGTATTACTACTAGAAGCAGTAGGAGCAGCAGCAGGAGCAGCAGCAGTAGTAGTAGTAGTAGTAGTAGTAGTACTAGTAGTAGTAGTATTAGTAGTAGTAGTAGTAGTAGTAGTAGTAGTAGTAGTAGTAGTAGTAGTAGTAGTAGTAGTAGTAGTACCAATACTAGTACTAGGTAGTCGTAGTCGTAACCGTAGCCGTCGAAGCTTGTACTTGTAGTAGCAAGAGTAGCCTAGTAGTAGTAGTAGTAGTAGTAGTAGTAGTAGTAGTAGTAGTAGTAGTAGTAGTAGTAGTAGTAGTAGTAGTAGTAGTAGTAGTAGTAGTAGTACTAGTACTAGTACTAGTACTAGTACTAGTACTAGTAGTAGTAGTAGTAGTAGTAGTAGTAGTAGTAGTAGTAGTAGTAGAAGTAGCAATATATAGTAGTGGTAGTGGTAGTAGTTGTAAAAGCAGTAGTAGTGATCTAGTACACATAGTCGTCGTAGTAGTAGTAGCAGTAGTAGTAGTAGTAGCATATATATATATATATATAGTAAGTAAGGAAGTAGTATAATAGTACTAGTAATAGAAGTCGTCGTAGTATTCGTGGTAGTAATTAAGATCCGGAGTGGTAGTAGTTTTACTATACTACTACTAGCCCTACTAATACTACTAGTACTAGTCGAAAAAAAAAATCCTAGTTGGACTATAACTATAAGTGCTAGTATCACTGCTAGCACGAGTATATATATATATATATATATATATATATATATTTATGTGCTATTTGTATTTATTTATATATATATATATATTATACATGGTTTCGGGTTTTGGGGGGATTGGTGTTTAGGGGGTGTGTCTAACTTCAGGCCGGAGTCCAATGAGCTTGGCATTCCCGATAGCGAGTCCCTACAGCTAGTTTCTCAAAGGTTGCACGGTATCTAGGGTTTGGGGTTGGTAGGCCTAGGGCAGCAATTCAGCATTTTCAGGTTCTGGGGAGTAGCAAGCCGCTTACAAAGATGACCCCAAACCACTAGGAAGTCTCCTACTTAAATATAACCCGAAACCCTACAGCTAGTTTCTCAAAGGTTGCACGGTATCTAGGGTTTGGGGTTGGTAGGCCTAGGGCAGCAATTCAGCATTTTCAGGTTCTGGGGAGTAGCAAGCCGCTTACAAAGATGACCCCAAACCACTAGGAAGTCTCCTACTTAAATATAACCCGAAACCCTGCAGCTAGTTTCTCAAAGGGTGCACGGTATCTAGGGTTTGGGGTTGGTAGGCCTAGGGCAGCAATTCAGCATTTTCAGGTTCTGGGGAGTAGCAAGCCGCTTACAAATATGACCCCAAACCACTAGGAAGTCTCTTACTTAAATATAACCCGAAACCCTGCTTGGCCAAGCAGCCGCCGGCGACATCATGAATCGCAACCAGATCGTGATCCTTGCTTGGGATTCACAGGGCCCACTGAGATACATGTAATAAGTACACGACCCCTAGGAACCCAAATATTTAAATAAAGACAAGACTCTGGATCTAGATCCATCCCGCGACTCGCTTGGCGAGATCAAAGGCGGCCGTCCAACCCCCATGTTTTTTGGCTGCTACATTAACTCCTTGCTTCTTGTTCACAACAAAGCTGTGCTCGACTCCGGCTGCATCTTTGATAGAGGGGTTCTTGGCCACGAGAACGTAGA